AAAGAGGAGGATTAGGATTGCCTGATTTTAAATTGTATTTTGCAGCCTGCTGTTTGGTTTGAATGAAAAAGTGGATTTTGCTGTGAAATAAAAGAATGCTAGAATTAGAAGATAATGTGAGGTTTGGTTGGCATGGGTTTTTATGGTATGTTAAACCTAATGTATATTTCAAAAATCATTATGTGAGAAGCACCATATTAAGGATATGGAATAAATATAAACTCAGGTTATACCCGAAAATACCTTTATTGGTATCAGCACAGGAAGAATTTTATAGAAAAGAAACAGGCAAATAGAAATGGTTAACATATCAAGACTTATTAATACAGAAAGATGGACAAGATAAAGTCAAGAGAACAATTAACTGCAGAGGGATTTAGTTTTTGATGGTTTTCATATGTACAATTAAGAGAAAGATTTAATACAGATAAAAAGGTAATTGGGATTGAACAACATAAGATGGAATTTGAAAATGAATTGCGCACAAGTGATGAACATGTGATTGCAAAAATGTAACCTTTTGTTGAAATTTGAAACAGAAGAGGAACAAGTTAAAGACTGCATGATAAAATGGGCTAAGAATTTTGGTTATAATATACAGACAGATCAATGGGAGAGAATGTGGATAAAAGGACTCAAATTCACATTGTATTATAATTTAAGAGAGAATTTTTATAAAATGATGTACCATTAGTATATGATACCATAGAAATTGTATCAGATGTTTCAAGGTACTTCTAGTCAATGTTGGAAATGTGAAAAACACGACAGGGCATTTTAACATGCATGGTGGACTTGTGAAAGAGCAAAAAAAAAAAATGGAAACAAATACATATGATGGTACAAAGAATTTTGAAGATTAATATCAAGATGAAACCAGAACTTTTTTTATTGGGACTTATAATCAATTAGAAAAGACTGATTTTATATGTGGGAACTGCAGCATGACTATTATATGAACAATGATGGAGAAATATTGAAATACCCACAATGGAGGAATGGATTGTAAAGATGACAGAATTGGCTTGTTTGGTCAGGGATAAAACAATAAATACTTTTATAAAAGACTGGAAACCTTTTATGGACTTTTTGCTGAAAATGGGGAAAAAATGAAATGGTGATTTCTGGATTTGATTATTGCAAAAGCATTGAATAACAGGTGAAGGAATTATTGTAATGTAAATGAGGGAGAAGGGATAATGAGTTTATTTGTAACTGCTGTAAAGAAGGTTGGAAGTCATGTCTTTGTCTTTTTTTTTTCTTTCTTTAACTATATTGTTCTCTGCACTGTTTTTTTTTCCCTCTTTTCTTTATATATTTCTGCATTTGTCTTTTATCTATGTAAAAACTTGCAAATAAACTACTTGGAACTGTAAACTGATCATGAGAGCTAATCACAATCTTCAGCTTCACAATTCTCTGAGCAACTGAATATTAAGAATCTTCCACAATGTATTGTCGAAGGCTTTCACAGCCGGGATACTATGGCTGTTGTGGGTCTTCCGTGCTGTGTGGCCGTGTTCTCGAAGTTTTGTTTCCTAACGTTTCACCAGCACCTGTGACC